ATTTCTCAGACTAGATGACCGTGGACCCAAGGGGAGGCTGGCAAAACCCTGCAGCCTCTCTTCGACCCTTGAACAGTAGCCCAGCTTCCTACCCACAGCCTCCTGGTCTCCACTCTGGACACTGGCCACCCTTTTATCATGGGCTTTTTTTTGGCTTTTTTGTCTCTTTCCATTTGGCTCCAGTTGGAGGAAGCAGCGGCAGTTTTAGGGAAAAGAAATTACTGCAATAAATAAGCATCAATTTAAAAAATTCAGAGCCGAAACTATGCAAAATTAGGTGTAAAACTAACAACTCCCTCCGTTGTCAGCTTTAATGGTCAGAAGCATGGATGTTAAACAAAGAGGCAGCTGCCGTGTGGGACAGGATCTGGAGTCTCAGGGGGCTGTGTGCTTGACGGTGGGAGAGGGGCAAGGAGAATGCGATGGAGATGGGGAGGGCCACTCTGGGGCTCAGCTTTTCCTTCAGTACCAAAAGTTATATGTAAATCTAATATCTAAAAATAGTGTTTTCTCACAGGGCTGAGTGGAGATGAAATAAATAGTAGCTCTGGAAGAGATGTTGGCCCTACAGGGCTGCACACATGTAAAGGATTTGGAAAGTGCAATGTTGTTATTTCTCTGGGCATAGGAAGGCTGGGATGCTCCTGGGGAGCCCTGTGGCCCTGTGAGGAGCTGACTTGCCCCATAGATGGGTGTTTCCTGAGCCGAGGAGGAGGGCGCCGAGGCTGTGCCTTGCCCAACTGGCTACATAGTCCAAGAGTGTCTGATGTCTGCCCTCGCTGTTCTCAGCCCCTGTGCCAAGCATTGCAAAGTTCATCCAGGCAAAGCTCCACTTGAGCTGGCATGATTGATCCCCCAGTCTGTTCTGATTTCAAGGTGCCCAGAAGGCTACAGAGATGTGGGAGGCAAGCTGTGAACCCAGGCTTCAGAGCACTTCAGGCAATAGCTGAAGCCCATGGAAAAGGGTTGTAGGTGGGGTGGGGGTGGGAGGGAAATATTTTATCCTACTGGTGGGTCTCACTTCCAGAGCCTCAAGGGCTGAGCTGTGTCCCATCGTTGGGGAGTCCACAGGGGCCAGCCATACTTCTCTCGACAAATGCAGGGTCGGATAATGCTTGAGAGGACTGGGGTTCAGTCTGTGGTCAGGAACAGGGTCCTGACCTATGACTCTATGACCAGGATTAAGGGTCAAGCTGGGATTAAGCTTGGGGGTCTGTTTTAGGTCAGGGTTTCGGGTCAGACTGAGGTCTGATCAGGGATTGTTCTAGAGCCAGGGTCAGAGGTACATGCGAAGTGGATGTCCTATCTGTTGAAGATGATTGCTGACCTTTCTCTGTCCTAGTCCCACTCTTTCTGAGGCTGCTCCACAGCCCTAGGAGTCCTACTCTCCCCAGCACCTCTGGCAACAGAGAGAATTACAATACTATGGCTTTTCTTTTCCTTTTTTTTTTCTTAAGTACTCTTTGTGATTTGAACAGAGAGATGGTTCCAATTAGGAAATCCAGCAACTATTGCTATGTAGCCTTGCTGTCCCTATGGGCATTCCCCAGGACCCCACTTGGTGGCTGGAGAATAAAGACTCAGAATGACTCCCCCGGGACCCCTCCCAACTCCCACCTGAACAGGAGGAGAGGATGAAAGTGCCCGGGGGAGGGGAAGACAGTAGGTTCCTGGAGACTTCTGAGGCTGTGATATCTGCAGAACAGACATCTCCTACTCTTGAGGTTGGAGGCAGGTGTTGTGTGAATTTGTTGACAGTGATGCTCTAAGTGTATGTGTCTGTGTCTCTCTGCGTGCACACTCAGTATTTGCCTGTGCATCTGTTTGCATCGCTATAAGGCCATGTGTCCATCCTTTCAGAGGTTGATGTTTCTGCAGGTGGGTTCCCCAGGGTGACTGCCCATTTTGCCATCTTCTGGGAGTGCTGTGTCTAAGGGTCAGGTTAGATTCTTAGGGCTCTCCAAAACAGCAGGGTCTCAATAATCCACCCCGCTCCGGTCTTCACCGGATTCCCCTCCCTGCACGGGGAACATTGTGGTTTTGGTCTCACAGCTCCTGTGTTCCCAGTCCAGAGTTGTCCTCCCTGACGTGAGGATGTGCCCCAGCTCTCTACTTCTGGGGTCACAACGGTCCCGACGGGGACTCCGTGTGTCTGGGCCCCAAGCTGCTTGACGTGGAAATCTGAGGGCACTGAGGCAGGAGTGGAGCCACTTAGGAGCCTACAAGCAGGCCCTTTAGAGCCGATCTTCCCCTGTGAATGGAGGCAGAAGGAAGGGGGAGCCGGAATCGCTTCCCCCTGAGTCTGTAGTGCTACGACTGTCCACCAGGTGGGGTTCCAGGGCAGAGAGAGAATTGAGATGACCCAGCGCTAGAAGCAAGAGACCGAGCTTTTAAATCTCCGCCCGCCACATCAACCTCGGAGGCGCTCGCACAGGGAGGGACAGCACAGACGCTCGCCCCTTAGACACTCACATACATTCTCTTCCGGTGAACTCTAAAACAGAATTCGTATTGGGTGCAGGGGAAGTGTTAAAAGGGGAGTCGAGTTTCACTTACACACACATCATCCTAACTAAAGGTTAGGTCGTCTGCTCTGGGAGTGCCAGAGTGAACTACGGTGAAAGGGGGCCGGGGGAACAGGACGCGCGGGAGAGGGCGAGCCAGGCACGGGCTAGACCGTGTCGGGGTTGGCACGCACAGCTCTATGTATCACAGACAGCAGGAGGAGAGACCAGATGACAGACGGATGCACGATGCACAGACACACATTCAGCACCAGAGAGAACACACAAACGCGCAGACACGCCACGCGGCTCCGCAGACGTCGGGCCGACCCGGGACACACGCGCGCGCACAGATGCGGCCCTGGGCCACACGCACACCTCGCACAGGCGCGCGCGTTGGGCCCTCAGCGGCCGGCAGGGAGAAGGTGGCCGCTCTCACCTGGCATGTTTATTTATTAATACTAATTTATCAATGACTGTACGCTACTCCTCCCGCCCCCGGGTGCCGGGGCCGCCGCATTGGTCCTCTTCGCGGGACATTCACCAGACCAGCGTCGGGGTTCCTCTCGCGCTGCGGGGCGAGGAGGGGGCGGAGGGGACTACAGAGTGAGGGAGTCTCGTGTCCGAGGGGAAGGCTGCAGCGCCAGCTGCCCGGGACGCGGACGGGGAGACGGGCACCTCGGGTCCTGGAGGGTAAGAGACGTACGGGAGGGGGGGAAGGGACCTTGGCCTCCAAGGTCTGAGGATGTCGGGATCCAGGATGGGGAGTCCCCGCTAGGAGGAACTGGGAGTGACATAGATGAGGGGACTCTGGGGCTCCGGGAGACAGGAGCCGGCGGGGTCCCGAGGGATAGGAGTTGGAGACCCTAAGCACACAGGTTCGGGGCTCTTGGCGCCCCTCAGTCGAGAAGCGGCCCGCCCGAGAGCTCAGCTGCGGGGGCGACAGCCCACGCGGGACCGCCTGGGGGGCGAGAAGGGGGCCGGGGGCCCGGGAGGGGGGAGGGAGGGGAGTAGCCTAGCAGCCAGGCGGGCACCACGCGAGCGCTCACCGTGTGTGTGCGTGTGTGTGCGCGCGCGTGTGTCTCATCTCGTCCGTCTGTAGGTGCCGGGCTCGGCGAGACGCCGGCGAGAAGGAAGAGGCGGCGAGAGGTGAACTGAGTTTGATCCTGCGGCGGCTACAAGTGGGTCCGCGGCGGGCGGCGGGCTGCGGGCGGCCGGGGCGGGGCAGGAGGCCGGCGGGCGCTCACACGCTCCGGCCGCCGGCCTCTCACCACGCCTCCGGCTTCGAGAGCGCGGCGGGGGGGTGGTGGGGAGGGTTGGGAGGCTTGGGGGGGTGGGGGTGGGAGGGGGGGCCCTGGCGAAGTGCCCACGGCGCAGCCTCCCGCCTCTATATAAACACACGCATCGCCTGGCTCTCAGAGGCACAAATTCACATTGAGGGAAGCTTTTAAAACCATCAGCCCTGAAATCCTGCCTCCGGCTTTTCCCCCCTCTTTCATTCCTTTTGCCTTCCTTTCCTTTTCCCCCCTTTCTTTCCCCAGCAGCAACTCCAGAGCCGAGAGACCGCGTCCCGGGACGGACTGCCTTTTCTTAATTGATACAATAGCCCAGCTCGGGTTTTCACCTCCTCCCCCAACCCCACCCCGCCTCACCCCTCCCGCCCGCCGCCGCCGCCGCCGCCACCGCCGCCGCCGCCGCCCCAGCGCCCGCCCGGGGCTCTGTCGCCGGCTGCGTCCCGTCCGGGCCGCGGGCCGCCGGCTCCGCACCCGCGTCCGCCTCGCCGCCTCGCCCGCCGCGCCCGCCTCGGGGGTGCAGCGGCGGCTCCGGGGCTCCGGCGCGCCGCCCCGGGCAGCCCAGAGGCGCGGAGCTCGGCCTCTCCACTCGCCTCAGCCGGGGAGCCTTCCCCCTCGCACCCAAAGTTTCTGGGTTCGTTGGAATTTGGGGATTCAGGATTTTTTCTTTTTTTTTTTAACCTAGGAATTTGAGGGGAAAACTTTTGACAAATCCATCGCACTTTCTCTCCGCTAGTTCTCTGGCCCCCTTCTTCTTCTTCTCCTTTTTTTTTTTTCCCAAACAGGGGAAGGGGCTTACGAGAGAGACTCCCGCTGGACAAAGTTTTCCCCAAGTTTTCCGAGTGCGATGGTTGCGGGGAGAGCTAACCCACCAGCCTGATTCACGACTTCGTCTCGCCACCCCTCGAGCAACCCCTAAGCCCGCTATAAGAGAACAAACAAACAAACAAACAAACAAAGTTACACTCCGAGTCGCCTCGTGTCTCCTCTCTCTCTTCTTTTAGGCGATTTCCCACCCCCCTCCGCTCTCCCCTCACAACCTCCACTTCCCTTCCCTCGGCCCCTTGCTCCTGCTCCATTTCGGCTGGAGGTGCCAGGACCCCCGGCCGCAGCCTCCCCTCCCCCGCCGCTCGCGTCCCTGCTCGTCTGGCCCTCCCCTCCCCCGCTGAGGCCCGCACAGCCAATCCCCCGAGCGGCCGCCAACATGCTCTTTGAAGGCTTGGAGCTGGTGTCGGCGCTGGCCACCCTCGCCGCGTGCCTGGTGTCGGTGACGCTGCTGCTGGCCGTGTCGCAGCAGCTGTGGCAGCTGCGCTGGGCGGCCACCCGCGACAAGAGCTGCAAGCTGCCCATCCCCAAGGGCTCCATGGGCTTCCCGCTCATCGGAGAGACCGGCCACTGGCTGCTACAGGTAAGGGCGCACTCACTCCGTTGCTCTCCAGGTTCCGCTAGCGGCGAGCACCGGGCGGATGGAGCCTCGGGCTGGCCAGGGGGCGCCGGGAGCCTGAAGGCACCAGTCCCCGCCCCGCCCCTTCCCTCCTCTCCGCCTGAGCCGCCCGGGCTTCCCCGGCCCGCCTGCGGCGTGGTTCTGAGCCCGCTGGCGCCGGGTGCGCAGGTTCAAGGGGGTGGTAAGAGAGGTTCCCGGATCCCAGAGGGCTCCCAAGACTGACTTTTTCCGGCCGCGAGCGACTCAGCAGGGGTGCGTCTAGCGTCCCGGGGGCTTCCCGAGCCGCGCGAGCCGGAGGGGGCGTCCCGTCTTGAGCCGCCTTCGCCTCTCCTTCGCGCTCCCGCCCCAGTCGCCGTCGACTTCCCGATCTTTGTCGGTGTACCTGGGACCCGAAAACCGAGTCAAGGAAAGAAAGAGTGGGCCAGTGGCAGCCGGGATTGCCGCTTAAAGACCCGGGCTGTGTTCCCGCCGCGTCCCGTACTGGCCACGCCAGGTACTACTGCCCTGGTCCACGGTTCGAGAAACTGTGCTGTGGTGTGGGAAGAAGGAGGCACCCCAAGGAAAAGGAGAAGCCCGAGACCCGAGGTTTCGCGACTTTCGGAGAAAAGGGTCTATTTACTTACTGGGTGGGGACAGTTTAGCAGGGGAGAGGAACTTGGGAGAGGTGTGTGAGATCCATAGAGAGAGTTTGTGTTTGTTGTTAGACGCCGCACAAACCACACTGCTGGCGATAATGGGAGTGGGCCTGTCGGGGACCAGACCCAGGTAGGTAATGGGGAAATTAATCTGCAATTAACCTCCTCAGGCGCTAGACAATCGCTTTTGCAATGTGTTAAACAGCAGGTTTTTCTTGGGGATGGGGCTCCTCTGGGTTAACCGCGGGAGGTGTGTTGCGTGCGCGTACGCACGCGGGTTCGTCTGGTAGAAGCTAATGAGAATTAGCAGAAGGATGTCTGTACTGAAACAGACAGCCCAGGCCCAGGAAAGCTGAGGCGGGAGGTGAAGGCAGAGACCTGTGGGTTTAGAAGTGCGAAAGCTTGGCTTGAAATTAACAGACGCGTGCAATCCGCGCGTGCACACGGACGCCCAGCGCAGCCCCGCCCCGCCCGGAGCCAGTTGACAGGAGAGCCGGGGCGGGGAGGGCACGCGAGGTTCCTCTGCCCAGTGGTCTTCCCAAGACCCGGAATCCAATTCGTCTCTGCGGTTCATGCAGCAAGGTGGGGTTCGGTTCAACCAGTGAGACCTACACACCCCGCCCCCACCGCCGTGAAGAAACCCCCAGAGCCTCTCCCATGCCAACACACTTAAAGGGTTAACTGCAGCGGTGGTCTAGGCTTTTGGCCGAGAATTTAGGAAATAAAATAATTCACAGGGGCGTCGGCCCCTGCCTTGTTATAACCAATCTGCCGAATTCGCGGTCTGTCACCGCCCCCCCTCCCTACTCCCCTCCCCCGGCCACCAACGTCCCCCTGACCTTTTCGCCGAATCCCACAAGGGCCTCTGGGGCTTCGCGTCCACCTCGCACGTAAGATGGGGAGGGGGAAGCAGGTCTACGCCTCCCCATCCGCCCGCCCCCGGGGAGCCCTTGACCCTCCTGGCGGGCGGGTAATGAGAGATTCGTGTAGAGGAGCAGTGAAGGGGTTAATGGGAACCCTCTGAATCCCAGCTTTATTTTTTCGGAGTCATTTATCAGATTTTACTGGGGGACCTCCAAGGGCTCTCCGTTTCCACCGTGCGCCATCTAAACAGAGCCCAGGGCTAAAAATACAACATTTTTGTATAAATTGGACTCGCGGCCCGAGCGGCCGCCCCTATGAAAGTCCTCTTTGTGAAGACCGTGGAAACGGCGGACAAATAACCCTTTATTAATACCACAAAAAACGCACTTTAATTATAGTTAGGCAGATCAGAGACGGGGGGGGTGGTGCGGCGGGAGAAAGGCGGCGGCGACCTCGGAAAATTCACAACCCAACTTTTGTGTCGAAAGAAAAGAAAAACAGAGGAAACGCAGGAGAGGAGCGAAGGAGAGTCAGACGGAGTGAGAGAGACCGGTACCTCGGGCAGAGCGAGGGAGCCCCGCTCCTCACCCCAGTTTGGTCGCACCTCCACCCTCGCCTTGATTTCTCTTAAAGGGGTAGACGCCGCCTAGAACCGCCGCAGAGTGGCGGGAGTTCTCCCCCACCCGCCAACCTGGAGGCGCGGGCGCTCCGGGCTCGCTCCCTGTCGCGCGCCCGGGCCGGAGGCACATGTGGAAAAGTGATTAGGGCTCCGGGTTCTGCAGAGTCACTTTTCGGCGGGGCTGGGGTGTGTACACATCTAACTGGCGAATACTTTTCCGCCAAAGAAAGGAAAGTGAGGAGGGGGACCAACCGGGGAAAAGAGGAAGCCGAGGGTCCCTTCGGGGGGTGCATGACCCCGCAGGTCTGGAGCCCGCATCCGCACGTCTGCAGGCGGGCAGGCGGGACAGCCTGACAGGTGGCGCTCCTCCCCTTTTGCACCGGGTTGCAGCCGCGGCCCGAGAAGGGTTAATGCGGGGTTGGGTGGCGAGCAACGACGTCAAAGGTGAGCGGGACGCCCCTGCCCCCGCCCCTCGGAGGTCCCCTCGGTTTCCGGTACCCTCGCGGGGCCAGCACAGCCAGCTCCTCCGAGCGCCCGGCCAGGGCCGGGGCCTGGCTCTGCTCGGCTCGCGCTGCCGCCGGGGATCCGGTTACCTGTGACGGCCGCGCCGCCCCGCCCCGCCCCGCCCCGCGGGAAGCGCCTTCCTCTGCGCTCGCGTTCCAAACTCCAAGGCGGCGACGAAAGTCCTGCTCAGTTATTTCGGGGCAAATTGCATTCGGAAAATCGCGGCTCCGGGCCCGTGACTCTACCCTGCGGAGCTCTCAGAGCACCGCCGGGTCCCTTCGAGGCCCACACCAGCGAATGGAGGAAACCCCAACCCCCATCTGTAGTGATTGCCTCGGGGCATCGACCGCTCGCCGCTATAAATAATCTCTGGCCTGCGGCCACCCCGCGGGGTCTCGCCAGCCCGTGGCCGCGAGCCTGGAAATATTTATTCCGAGTGTCTCCCGAGCGCGAGGCGAGGGAGGGGGGAGGCGGAGACTTTAGTTTAGGGTCTCGCGGTCCGTGATACCTTTTCCCCCCCGCAAGTCATTACTAAAAAACCTCCCGCGGGGTGCCCTGGGCCTCTCGCCCTCTTGCATTATTTATTATTCCTCTAGGCCCCACTTCCCAGTTCTCGTGCAAGCTATGAAAAATAAAACCTACGTGCGTGCGTGCGTATGTGTGTGAGTGGGGTAGGGGAGGGTAGGGGAACTGGTGCCCGAGGTGGGGTCCTCCGCCCCTCCCCCGAGGGCCCTCGAGGCTGGGCCTCCTGGACGTCCCATCTGGAGATGTGGGCCCTGAGAAATTTCTTGCGTGGCCCCTGCAGGGTTCTGGTTTCCAGTCGTCGCGGAGGGAGAAGTATGGCAACGTGTTCAAGACGCACTTGCTCGGGCGGCCGCTAATCCGTGTGACGGGCGCGGAGAATGTACGCAAGATCCTCATGGGTGAGCACCACCTTGTGAGCACCGAGTGGCCACGTAGCACACGCATGCTGCTGGGCCCGAACACGGTGTCCAACTCCATCGGCGATATCCACCGGAACAAGCGCAAGGTAAGAGCCCCGCAACCGTGCTCTGATCCTCTTCTCGCGTGCCACCGCCTCGGAGTAAGGAGTTCTTGGCGTCCCGGGGACGTCCCCACCAGAATCCGCGCCCGTATTTGCACACCATGCGGGAGAATCCCGAAGCTCCCTGCCTAGACAGCGGCGATCCCAGATCCAGGGCCTGCACAGGCCTCCTCCGGGTCTGCCCTTTTGCTGGCCCACCCCACCGTGCGCACTACCAGGCCCAAAGGGAGGGTCATTGGGAGTTGGTTTGGACAACTTGAACATGCGGCGATAGGGGCGTCCAAAGCCTGTCCTCGTCGTGCTCCATAAACCTGGACAAAAGGAGAGGGCGGACGGTGGCCAGCGCTCCTCCTTATCGTCCCTTAGAATCCCGAGAACTAGAAACGGCTCATTCTAAAAGCACACCTAGCCTCCCCCGCTGCAGGTTGCTTTAAGGGCGCCGCAAGCAGGCACGGGCGGCTGGGGGCACCTTGTGACAGGGGTTGCTGGGCCTTGCCTGGGAGGGGCGAGGTGAAATTTGGGCCACCGCGCTCGGATCTGGGCCGAGGGGGAAGTACCAGGGGTGGGGTAACAGCCGAGGGGGCGGCGGGGGATCAAAGCGCACCTACCCCCCTCCCATAAAGAGGAAGAGAAAGTGGGTGTTTATCCTGTGGATTTCCCGAGCGCCTGGAAGAGGCGAGGAGGAGGCGAGCCAGCGCGCACGGAGCAAGCCTCCCCGCCCCCTCCCAGGGCTGCGCCGCCGCCGCGGCTCCGAGCGCGGGCGGCACGTGCTGTTTGAACTGCAGTAACCCGAAAGCTGAGCCGCCGGCGGGCGGGGCGCCGGCCCGCCGGCTTAAAGCAGCCGCGACGGGGGGAGGCGGCGCTGCACGACCTCCCCTCCCTTCACTTTTTCCATTGGGTCAGAGGACTCACCAGGTTTGAAACCTAGAGGAAAGGGAGAGGCAGCCTGTGATCTCCGGGAAGAGTGGCAGAGCCCGGGAGACAGGAGAGGCCACGGTGGGCAACCCCCTCCGCCGGAAGTCTGTGTGTGAACGGAGGAATTCATCCCGTAGAGTTCGATGTCTTCCGAGAACTGCCCGCGAAGAGTAGTTCTTCGTAACAGACAAAAGTAGGAAAAATCAGAGGGGACTGGTCTGCACATGCCCACCCCCCGCCCCCCTCCCCTGTAAAGCAAGCATTTTAGGGGGCTGGGAAAGGGGCTTCTGAAGTAGTCTCTCCAGCTGCTTCACTGGAGCAGGAAGCAGCTAAGAGAGCCCGGGGGCAGATGGGGAGGGTTCTCGGGAGTGGCAGGGTGGGGGAACACTTCTTTTCTTCTTTTGGTGTAACTCCACCAAAAGTTTATTTTAAAGAGTTAGGAGAGCGCCTGAGACTCAGGAACCCAGCTCCAAAGAATGTGGGTTAGAAAACCATTTTTGTCCTCCTCTCACAGAAGAGGACCCTGAGGTTGAGGGACTTGAAACAGGTCAGTTCAGTTCAGGTCAGTCGCTCAGTTGTGTCCGACTCTTTGCGACCCCATGGACTGCATGCAGCAGGCAGGCTTCCCTGTCCATCACCGAGGTGGGGAAACAGGTCGGGAAGGAGGAAAAGGCAGGGCAGGGCCTGCAACATTGGCTTCTCTGGGAAGAGCGTTTCTAGGAGAGCCTACTCAGCCCTGCCCCACCCTGGGCTGCCAGAAGCTGCGGGTTGAGATTCGGCCGGGGGGCGGGGGGCGGGGGGGGCGGTGCTGGGAGGAAGAAAGCTTGGTCAGGACCTGAGTGTGGAAGGTTTCTGGGGAGGCTCTTGCCTCGCAGTTCCATTCACCCTCTGCCTGACTTGGCTGTGGGCCTTCAGGTGGGGCAGGGCCCTCCTGGAAAGCCCCCGGGAGTTGGGCTTTCTGTGGTCCATTTGGAAGGAGCGGGAGGGTGGGGGAGGGGGGACACAATGAATGCTGCTGGAGGAATACTCAGTGAAGGCAGCCTGAGGGCAGGGTGAGGTGGTGGGACCTGGGAGAGGCCAGAAAGCTGGACCACAGAGGAGGCACAGAGAGTGTGTCTCTTCCTGGCTCCCTTGCCCTCTAGCTCCTTGGGGGTCGGGAGCAGCCAGATCAGATCATCCTGACGGAGACTTGGGGACCCTCTGTATGTACTGGTGGTGGTCTTGTTATGTGGCATGTGTGTGTCTTATGTTAAAATGACAGATGAAAAGGTCCTCCCCCAAATCATTCATTGGTGTTCCGTCAGCTTAAGTTTACTGAGTTAAATAGCAGGGCTTGGGCTGGAAACAAACGTAGAAGCTTGGTATACAGACAGACAGGCAGGGTCCTTGCCCTTGAAAAGTGGAATCTAGCTGGAGGGATGAGAAGAGAATACTCAGGGGCACACATGTTGGTCCTGGAGAGAATGGCCTGTTTGCTGGGCCCAGCGCCTGGTAGACCCAACTTGGCCAGGGTTGGGGCTGCACTGGGCCACTCCTACTGCCTTATCCAGCCCGCACTGCAAGCAGGGACCCTAGCCTGCTTAGGTTAGGATGTACTCACAGGAAGTGGGGCCCAGGTGTAGTGAGGCCCTGCTGGTGGGGAACTAGGAGCGTCACTATTTCCATTGGGGCTGGTACCCCACCCCTTCTCTGGGAGGTCTGACCAGATGTGCTGGGAAGGGGTTCCTCACCGTCATCGCTGAAGTCCAGGTGTTTGTCCAGGCTGCCCTGGTGGTCTAGGGCCCAGAGGGGTAGGGTTGCCAGGGAGAATGAAAGCCTTGCCCAGTCTGACAGAATCCTCTCTGGACCCCAGGCCAGTGTGGTCATAGCCACAACCTCAGTTTCCGTCCCCCTCCTTTGTTGTGCCTCCCCTACCTGGGGCCTGGGGCGTCTCTGATTTGGGGGGAGGGACTGGATCTCTCTGTGTATGCAGAGAGGCTGGGGTTACCCTGGAAGAGTGCATGGAGAGAAGTAGAGAAGATCAATCTGGGGAGGATTATCAGAGACACAGAGGAGGGGGACAGGGAGTTGTCATGGGTCGTCCTGGAAGCATCCAGGGCCCAACCCCACACACCAGGATCAGACATTTCCTCTTTTCCTTTGGAGCTAGGGCCCGGCTTCTTTACACCAAAGAGCCAGCATCTTCAGGGCATTTCAGACAGTGGCCCTGAGATTCTGCCAGAGAACTTGGAGTGCATCCCAGGGATGCACTTAGCTTTGTAACTTTGGACTGGAGAGACCCTAGGAGTGGTCTTCCTGCCCCTCCTACTCTGACCCCTGGCTCAGGGACTTCTGTGGCCATGACTGAGATAGATAGGTTTTGGGGGTAGGAATTAAGAAGCTCTGCCCGCCCACCTATGGCTCCTCACTGACTTAGGCTTTCGGCCCCCTGGGTGGGGATGGAGCTCAGGCTCAGGCTTATAGTACTCCTCTCAGAAATCCTGTGTATGCTGGGATTTGTGTCAGGATAGAGAGACCAGGCGGTGCTTCGGCAGGAGGGCAGAGCCAAGAGGGCCCTCGGTTGCGGGATCCTGAGGGAGGCCAGCTCAGACCGGCTCCAGGTGGCCTTCGAACCAAGGCACAGCCTCTGGCTCCAAAGTCTTGTCCACCAGGTTCGGCTCAGGGCAGACGTTACCACCTGGGTTGAATGGGAAGACAGTGAATGGCCAGGCAGCCCTGCCCCTGGGAGCTGCCCCCGCAGAGCCTTTGTTCGGCCAGCGGAGGTCCTTCACCAAAAGTTACTGTAGCATCAGGGGCTTCTGAGGGGGCGGTTGACAGGAGCGGATGTCTCTGAAGGTCAGCGGGGGAGGGTGCCCACGGCTGGCTGCCAGGGCCCTGGGAGTGGTCTCCTCCCTCTGTGTACCCTTGTGTCGGGCAGGGGCAAGTGGTGGGGGCTGTCCTCTCTCTTCCCTCTCCCCTCTGCGTCCTTCTCCTAGGGTGGGATGGATCCAAGACTGATGCTGAGGTGTGTACTCACTTTCCCAGCCTTGGGGACAGTTGTGGCCTTGGCTGGCAGCAGGGAGGCTTGGCTGGGGTCTGCTCTGGCCCTGAGCCCTCTATGCCAGTTGTATCTGTTCCAGGTGCCCCAGACTGAAAGGCAGAGGTTGGGGTTGTGCCTCGAGGGGCTGACAAAGTTTGAGAGTAAACCAGAGTAGCCACAACAGCTGGCCTTACCCTTAGGATAAACTTGGGCCCTTGAGGAGCGTCCCCTTCAGGCTCATAGATACATTGGAGTCCCCAGGACTGCTAGAGGCTGGCTCAGTGGGTTTGGAGTGGTGGGAGGCTGGGTATTTAGGGACCCTGGTGAGTGTGGCCCATCATGCCCGGGACTGTGACCTTGGGAGGCTCTTCCTGCTTTGGGCCTCAGCTTTCCAAGGGGGTTTATTTCTGGCTGGAGGAGGGATAGAAGGGTCTGGGAAGACCTTCTCAGAGTCTGTGGCCCAGCAGGGATGTACCAAGTGCTGCCCTCCCCTCACCCAGTGGGTGCTTTTGCCGTGTGTGGAAGAGTTAGGGGAGACGGTCAGAGCTGGACTCAAACAGGGGACAGAAACTCTGTTCCCACAGATGCTGAAGACCCAGAAAGGGCATGCACAGGCTGGGCAGGGCGGGGGTAGAGGGTGGTGTCTGGCCAGCACCTCCCCATCAGAGGGTCTGACTCAGGAGGCAGCCAGGGTGAGGTGGAGGTCCAGTGGAAATGCCAGGCAGCTAAGGGGTGATGTCCTCTCCTGTCCTCCCCCTTCCTTGAGTATAAAGTACACACCTCAGCGTCACTCCTGTGCCGTGCGGACAGCTGCCTCGGCGGCTGCCCGCCCTCTGTTATTCTTTCCACTCCGCAGGCTGCGGCTCCGGTGGCTTGGCGGGGTGGCCTTCCCCGGGCCCCCACCCTCCCGGGCAGCCGCTTCCATTCCTCCCAGTCTGAGTCACTGGCCCGGGGAGTGGGTTCCCTCTCCAGCTCTTCCAGCTCCTGAGGCTGCCCATCTTTCTCTGCATCCATCCAGTTGTGAGGGGGCAGTTATTTGGCTGAGGGCGTCAGCACAGGGCCATGGGGGCCCGGTGAGCTACTCCCCTCCCAGGGTGAGACATGGGGAGGGAGGCCTCGGGTGTGAGGGAGACATTTGCAGAAACAATCACAGAGAATTTGAGCCTTCACAAGCCCCCCTGGTGGTTACCCCAGCCCCCGCTGTGGAATCCACTTTTATTCCAGGGAGAGGAAGAACCAGGGATGGGGATTCTTGAGCCAGCTGCATTGCTGGGAAAGCCGGTAGAGATGGGGATCTTTCAAGGCCGGAGCCCATCGTGCTCAGGTCTATGCCTGAAGTTCCCAGGTCTCCGGCGCCCTGCCCTCCCAGCGCCAACCCAGATGGGGCGTTCCCTACCTGCTGCTCTCTCTGCCCAGCTCTGCGGAGCCCGGCCGGTTCCCGGTGACCTTTGTCCAGCATTCTTGGCTCACTTGTGGGAATTCCCAGGGAAGCCCCAGAGGGAAACAAAGCAGCCCTGGCTCCCGCTGCAACTGCGGTCAGGTCATGGGCTCTGGGGCCACGGGACACCCTTTCCCTCTTCACCCAGAACTGCTCCGCCGGCGCCTTCCCCAGTGCCCGAGTGCTGACCCTGCCCGCCCCCATGAGCCCCGGCCTCCCTCTGCCCTGGCCAGCACCTCCGCCTCCTCCTGGGCTTTGTGGCGGGCGGTGGTTTCTGGGCTGCCCCAGCTTTGGGAAGCGCCCGCGTTGTTAACCCTGGGCACGGTCCCAGAGATGAGGCCCTGGAGTTTCCCGGCGCCTGGGAGGCCCCGATGCCTGTGGAACAGCTGAGCAGGAGGCAGGAGCATGGTCTTAATGACCACGGTGCAAAGCCCCCTGAACTTGGAGTGCCCGCAACCTGGCTTTGCTTAGCTTCTTGTTTGGGTAGTTTTTCCACCTCAGGGGGCCTCTAAGGAGAATCGTGGGACTTCGAGGAGGAAAGGGACCCCAGAGCATCCAGTTAGACTCCTGGATGGGTCAAGATAAGGGCCGTGGTTGGGGCTGCAATTCTTTCAGAAGCCTCACCTCAAAGAGCCTGCAGATTCAGGCATCCTGGGGTCATCTCCGCTTCTGGCCTTGCTCAGGGCCCCTTCCGCCTTGGACGTCAGGTGTGGACCCCCTGCTCTGGAATCGTCCTGCCCAATAGTCCCAGGTCCTCTTGGGTCCTTCCTGTTGTCTGTGGCTCCGAAAGCTTGAGTAGGAGCAATTCAGCCGGCCATCGCTAGAGGGCGCAGGGAATGTAACCTCTGGGACAGGGCAGAGCTTGTCCCTGGGTCCTGTCTGGTCACTCCTCGGGGTGCTGTGGGGTCCCTCAGAGCTCCCCGTTTGACAGTCCTGGAATGAGCCCTCCTGAGCCCCTGTAGCCCATACAGAGTGTGCGAGTAGGGGCCCAGCAGGCAATTATACCATGTGATTATACCAGATTCCGGGCTTTGAAGGGATAGTGTCTACTTAGGGACACATGGATATTGGTGTTTGTGTGATTTGTACATTGAAAGGAACCTCAGAGGTCACCTGGTTCAGCCTCACCAGTTTACAGATGAGGAAACTGTGGGCCCGGGAGGTGATTTGGCCATGATCCTACAGTGAGTTGGTGGATGATCTGGGATTAAAACTCAGGTTTCTGGGTGCCAGCTCTGCCCTTTTCTACCACCCACTGCATGGACAGAGGAGCCTGTCAGGCTACAGTCCACGGGATCGCAAGTGTCGGACACGACTTAGCGACTAAAGCACCACCACCACTGCATCTTAGGAGCCTAGCTGGCTTCGACTTTGGCTGATCCTCGTCAGCGTGGGCCTCTGCTTGCTTGCCCCTCCCCCTCCACATGCCCACTTTGTGCCCAGGTCTTCCATGTGCTGGGGGCCCTGGCTAGCCCCTGCTCCCTTTCCTTCAGGGTAGTGCCCTGGACTCTGCTCCCCACCGTCCCTGCCTGCCCTACCTCCAGCCTCCCCACGGAGGCCTGGCAGCCACAGAATTACCATCCTGTGTCCCTCATGAGCCTGCTCGGCTCCCATCAGCCACTTTCTGTGGGCTCTTTGCTATTTTATAAGGGCCCCTAGTCAGCTGGAGTTGGGTTCTGGGGCAGTGCCCGGCTCCTACCCATAAAACTCTTGGACCAGGAGTGGAACCTGGAATCCTAAGAACACCAGGGTTGGAGGGGGTGCTGAGGCAGAGAGCACGCTGGAGGGAGGTGGCCCTGGAAATTCCCCGGGCCCCCACAGCTGAGCAAGGTGTGAGTGACCTGGCCAGGCCTGGGCTGCCCTGGCCACCGCCCCTCATCCTTCTACATTTCAGCTGTCCCTTAGTAGCAGGAGCAGCCCCAAACAGTGCTGGTTTTTCTGCCCCTCACAGGCCTCCTTCCCTCCCTCCCTCCCTCTGCCCACCGGGAATTTCGGAATGAAAGTGCTATTGTGAACGTCTGGCTGGGCCACTGAAGGGCCAGCACTGTTATTTCTGCAAACCAGCCCTCCCATTAGCCATGCAGGGCCGAGGCCAGGAAAATGTTACCTTTTCCTTCTTGAGCTGACTGCAGGGGAAATTCTCACATTTACAGTTTGTGCGGTGGTTGTGTTTGGGGGCAGGAGGGGAGGGCGGGCGCGTGTGTGTGGTTTGCGTGGGGGTGATTGGGGGTGGCTAGAGGGATATTTGTCTCCTTCCTCTGCTCTGCCCCTCCCCTCTCTGCCTTTCCTGATGACCTTTCCCTAGGCATTGGTGGGGGCACCCCTTCTTTCTGTCTCCAGGGGTTGGGGCTAGAGATTGTTGGTTGCCAGTGAGACCCACAGGCCATCAGTAAATAAACTCACATTTTACCCTCTTCTCTACACCTTGGGCAGCAACGTGAAACTCTGCACAGGGGCATCTGGGTGAGGAGGGGCAGGGAGACTAAGGACTTCTTTGCTTAGAAATTGGGAGGACAGAAAGCAAGGGAGGTGGAAGCAGAATCACTGGCTACTTAAAATGAACTGGGAAGATGCAGGGAATTAAAAGACCTTCTGTTTGGCTTTCTCATCTTTTGAGGTAAAAAGCCTTACCTCCATCCCCCTGCCTCCAGACCCGGTCACAGTGCAGACTTCTGGATGGCATGGTAAGAGACCCCTAGGATCTCCACCCTAGGTGTTTTGCAGGGAGTGAGAGTAACCTTGGGTCTCAAGAAGTTCTGCTTGCAGTCTAGCCTTAGAGTCTCTTGTTTTCCCATCAGTGGAATAAAAGAGCCACCTCCTGCTTTCCACCTCTTCCTTGTCCAGTCCAATCACCTGTGTTCTGTCTCTGCTGGGCATGTCTGTGCTGTGGCCTGGGCATTCGGGAATGGCCCCTGCAGTGGAGGGGCCTCCCCTCCAGCCCTGCCCAGCCCCCACTTGTGTTGCCGCTCATGCTGGTATGGCCACATGGCCTACAGACCTGTTGGCAGCTGGACTGCTGGGTCTCCGGCTTTGCCATTGTCTGGAGCACATGCTTTTCTGGGGCTTTAGTAAGGAATGACAGCTCAGGTCACCCTGTGAGTGATGTTGAATGTCCCAACTCTGTGAACTGTTTCAATCCCGTCCTTCCCCTGCCTTCCCTTCAAGACGTGGGCAGTGGGACGGGGCTCAGAGTGGAAGAGCCAGCCGAGGGGCTGTGACTGGAGATGGGAAGGCTTGAGGCTAGTCAGGGTAAGGACCTGGAGTTTCCCCGATCGTGGTCATGGGAATTGCGCTTTGGTTGGGCTGGCCTGAGTCCATCTGACCAGTTCACTCTTCTGCAGGTCTTCTCTAAGATCTTCAGCCACGAGGCCCTGGAGAGCTACCTGCCCAAGATCCAGCTGGTGATCCAGGACACGCTGCGTGCCTGGAGCAGCCACCCCGAGGCCATCAACGTGTACCAGGAAGCTCAGAAGCTCACCTTCCGTATGGCCATCCGCGTGCTCTTGGGCTTCAGTATCCCCGAGGAGGACCTGGGGCACCTCTTCGAGGTCTACCAGCAATTTGTGGAGAACGTCTTCTCCTTGCCCGTCGACCTGCCCTTTAGTGGCTACCGGCGGGTGAGTACCCAGGACGTGGGAAGAGATGAGATGGGCATCCGTGAGCCCCTCTCAGGGAGGGGCAGCTGGCCGCTAAGACAGTCACTGGTCACATTGGCAGAGAGGGGTTTCAGCGGGAGGGCATGGTGGACACGTCACCTGGGGTCTCTGCTGCTTAGTTGGGAAATTCTCAGAGGATTCTCTACCCCACCCTGCCAGACCTTGGGAGGAGGCCCTCGGTGACCCTGCCCGTCCCCTTGGGTAACCAGACGGCCTCCTCCCTGCCTCAGGGCATTCAGGCACGACAGACGCTGCAGAAGGGCCTGGAAAAGGCCATCCGGGAGAAGCTGCAGTGTACGCAGGGCAAGGACTACTCGGACGCGCTGGACATCCTCATCGAGAGCAGCAAGGAGCACGGGAAGGAGATGACCATGCAGGAGCTGAAGGTGGGGCACCCCACCCCGGCCCAGGCAGCGCAAGTGCCCGGACTCCACCCTGGGACTGCATGTGCACCCATATGGGTGGGGCCGTCCCTTCCTTCCCCGTGACTTGCTGTGCACACCGTTCTGGTGATGACCTGGTCCCCAGAGCAGCTGGGCCCCATGCTCTCCATCCCACCACAATTCCTTCTACCATTTTGGAAAAGATGCTGAAAATTGGCTCCTAGAAATCTCGAACAGATGTGGCGTCAGGGGCATTGTCGAACCCCTCATCTGCTCCTCACCGCCAACCCTCCCCCCATCCAGTATTCACTATTTCAGTGCATTTCATGGTCACAGTAGCCTTAGGAGCTAACCTAGGGAAATGAGGCCCAGAAGGAGAAGCCACTTGCTGGAGGGTGGCCTCAGCCCTTGGGGAGCAGCAACCTTTTCAAGTTGGAGGCACAGCCTGCCTGGCACTGGCCAAACCCAGCTGGGCTGCCGGCCCCCAGACTGTCCTCACTGGGCTCCAAGAAAGGCTTCCTGCCTACCCTTTCTTGAGGTGGATGTTCATCCTCACTTAGACTCTGCTGCCCACATGCTTCCCAGGTGCCCGTGGACACTTAGCGCCGACTGCTCCATCCCTGTCTCTGCTTCCCCATGTCCTAGCTCCAGTTTTTGTTTGTTTGTTTGTTTTAATCTCTGATGAGCCAGGAAGGAGCTCAAAAGACTTTCCCATTTCATAAGAAGTTTTGTGACTTGTAGTAGTGCCATGGCAAGTAAGGGACATACTCGTTCACTCTGCTCTCTGGGCTCGGCATCCACATTTGTAAAATGTAGGGCTTGGAATGAGACGGCTTGGGGAGGCCTTTCCATGGGGCACCATTGCTCCCCAGAGGGCCCTGGAGGGGCTCTAAGTCGTCAGGGGGCCACCTCGCCTCAGCCTTCTCACTGGGGGTCCCATCCCAGGTCCTCCTGCCTCCTTACCCTCTCAGCTCTCCTAACCACCTTCCACCTCCCTCCTTCTCCTGAGGAGGGAGGAAGAGCTGGGGCTGCCCGTCTGGAGGCCCAGCTGGAGACCCTGCACCACACTCTACTGGCCTGAGCAGTGCCTGCTTCTTGGGATTTGCTCTTTTTCCTGTGCGCTCACTGCACTGATGAGGGCCGATGGCCAGCTCTGGAATCCAGCAGTGAGTGGGAAGCAGCCGTGCCCCTTTGGACTTTTAGGCTAGTGCCTCTCCCCAGCCAGGGGGGACTGGACCTATGTCGGCCGTGGCCAACATGCCCCAGCAATGTGAGGCTCAGAGGAAGCACCAGGGCTCAGATGGATGGCCCCAGGGTCGAGGGGACATGGGTAGAGAGGGGCTGCTGCCAGGCTGAATGCAGGTTGCAAGCGGTGCCTCCTCTCCGCTGCTGCAGGACGGGACCCTGGAGCTCATCTTCGCTGCCTACGCCACCACCGCCAGCGCCAGCACCTCACTCATCATGCAGCTGCTGAAGCACCCGGCCGTGCTGGAGAAGCTGCGGGAGGAGCTGCGGGCCAAGGGCCTCCTCCACAGCGGCGGCTGCCCCTGCGAGGGCACACTGCGCCTCGACACACTCAGCGGGCTCCACTACCTGGACTGCGTCATCAAGGAGGTCATGCGCCTGTTCACGCCGGTGTCCGGCGGCTACCGCACCGTGCTGCAGACCTTCGAGCTCGACGTGAGACTCCCATGGGCTGTGGGGCGGGCCGATGGGAAAGATCTGCTCCCCATGGGGTACCTCAGTCTCAGTCTCGTGGGAAGACGATGCTGACTTTCAGGGAGCTTTCAGGCTGGTGGGAGGGTCCTTACCCCAAATGCTGGGTCAGATGCAGCCCCCCTGGGTGCCCTGTGAAGCTGCCTGGAGACATCTATAAATAGGTGGACTGACATGCTCGAAGGAGAGCCTGGCCAGGCCCCCAGGACCACAGTGGGAACATCTGGGCGGGGGCTGGCAGGCAGAAGGTCCTAGGTCCTCTGAGACCCGCTCTGGTTCTCACCACCCCCTCCCGTCCCTTCCCCTGCCTTGCCCCCAGGGTTTTCAGATCCCCAAAGGCTGGAGTGTCATGTACAGCATCCGGGACACACACGACACAGCGCCCGTGTTCAAGGACGTGAACGTTTTCGACCCCGATCGCTTCGGGCAGGCGCGGAGCGAGGACAAGGACGGCCGCTTCCATTACCTCCCTTTCGGCGGCGGGGTCCGGACCTGCCTCGGCAAGCACCTGGCCAAGCTGTTCCTGAAGGTGCTGGCGGTGGAGCTGGCCAGCACCAGCCGCTTCGAGCTGGCCACCCGGACCTTCCCCCGCATCACCTTGGTGCCCGTCCTGCACCCTGTGGATGGCCTCAGCGTCAAGTTCTTTGGCCTGGACTCCAACCAGAACAAGATCCTGCCAGAGACCGAGGCCATGCTGAGCGCCACGGTCTAAGGCACCAGGCCTCGGGGTGGGAGCGATGGAAGGGTAGAAACCTGTGTGCGGGTGGGGCTGGAGCCTGGGGACGGGGGAGGGCCCCCCAGGCCTTGCTCTCCCCTGTTCCCCTACCTGGCAGACCTGCCCCAAGTCAAAAGGGGCCCATCCTCCGGGGTTGGGCCCTCCCCCTGACCCCTGCTTCTCTCTAGTCTCTCTGGTTCCCAACAGCTTAGTCCCCCGGGAAAGGGCCTGGCCCCCCGGCCCCGCATGCCCGTCACAGTGTTAACCGTCGGCTGTGCTGCAGCCTGTGCTTGTGATGCTCTGAACTGGTCTCTCCCCTCCCTTTTCTTTTGGACTCTTAGTTTGAGGTCAGGTGGTTGACATGGGGAGGGAGAGAAAGAGGTGCCCCGCTGGCCCTCTCTCCAGCACCCCCGCGCCCTGCCTCGGCTCAGACAGGCGAGTGCCCCTCCCGCTGTGGCCACCCACCGCGGGGAACAGCATTGTGGGTAATAGAACATCAGTCACCCTTGGCAGAGCGGCGATGGGTTGTCCCAGCCTGGAGGCCCAGCCCTTGCCATTTGGGACATTTGAAATTACCTATTGCTGCTACATTTTCTCTCTTCTGACCTTGGGGCAAAGGAGCCCCAGGCCCTGTCCTCCCAGCGTCCTCCCTGGCGGCCCTGGGCACGCGCACTGACACCCCCACCTTCCCAGCAGGCGGCTCAGAGCCCACCTGCTCCCGGTACACCCATGCCCAAGGCCCTCTGCCCATGGGCTGACCCCGCACCCCATCCCCCGTATTTATTCACTGATATAACCGACTCTTGGTGTTACTGGGACTGGAACAAGCATTCCGCCGTCCCCTGGCTTCCATCCCAGCTGTCCCAGGCAGGACTTCTGCAAGTGACCTAGCACCCATCCCCTGCCCCCGCCGGCCAAGGGTCGAGCGGCTCACCCAGGCACCAGACCTGTGGGCGCAACCTCGGAGTTGAAATCCAGTGAAATCCAGTGGGTCTGCCTTCGTCCCTGGGGGAGATGGGGAAACGGCCCACTGCCTCCCTGCCCTCCCACTCTGTCGGAAACCTGGAGCAGGGGGCTTTGAAGGCTGCTGCCGTCTCCCACTTGTCCCTGTTCACCGCGGTGCCCCCTACTCTGGCTAGTGAGTATGGAGAAGGATACGGGTTCTTTCTTCTGACGGGGAGCCAGGGCCTCCGTCATCCCTCCCTTGACCCCCTTTGCCCTTTGCCCTTTGCCCTTTGCCCTTGGAAAGGTGTCCTTGAAGTCCCTTCCCACCTCTATGCCACTGTCTGCTTAGCCCAGCTCAGGGGTGTGGGGACCAGATGAAAGCCAGGGGAGGTGAGCGCAGAAGGCAGCCCTCCCCCGCCGGAGGCGGCTCAAGTGGCTGTGGGGAGCGCTGCAGCAGAGAGCTGAGGAGGAGGGTACGTGCGACTTGTCCGGTGATTTGGTTGAAAATGAGCGGTCAGTGGATGGAGGAGGAGGAATAGCTCCTGCCACTGGCATTTTGAGTGTTGGCAATTAGGGATGCCTCCCGGGATGGTTTTGGGCCTCTGGTGAGTCTCTCAGTGATTTTGTCTGTTTTCAAATTTTTCTTTGCTTTACATGTTTCTCTGTTGGCTTTTGATGTTATAAAAGCAGTGAATCCTCTTTAGGAGAAAATAAAAAACACACAGAAGAATAATGCGGGACACCAGTCCCCCCAGTGGGCTCTCGGCAGCACTGACTTAGTGGCTTCCCAGTGGTGTTCAGTGGGCAGGTGGCAGACCTCCACGCCTGCCCCCACCCACGGTTACCTTGTGCTGGGCTTTACGGGAATGGTTTGTGCCCACGGAGTGTTCTGTGACACCCATTCTCAAGTATTTCATTTGGTTCCTACCTTTTCATCATTTAAAAAGCCAGTGCAGCACAGACAGTATTGACAAAACTTGACATTAAAAAAATAGTAATATTCTCAATTTCCCCCCACCCCATTCTGAAAAACAGGCACCCCCCCCCAAAAAAAAACCGTGTTAAGGACTCATCAAAGCTTGCGAAACAGCTGCATGGTACACCAGAATTTGTCCCCTACAAAAAGCCCAGTCTCTGGAAGGTCCATGCTCCTCCACGCTGACCCATCTTACCCCGAGCCAATTGTTTTTTGCCTGCTATCTAGGATTGTAGTAAGTGCAGATTCAGACAGAAAGCCTGCCAGGCCTGGCCCTGGCAAGGGGCAGGGAGCTGGAGGGCTGTGGGAAGCTTCAATGGCCTTCAGTTTCTGCGACCAGCCTGGGAGGGGCAGAGAAGGCAAGACAGAGGATCCCTGTGAGGGAGGGAAGAAGGATTACTTACCCCACTGGGTCTCAAAGGGGTTAAGAAGAGAACTGAAGAAAGCTCTTGACTGGCTGACAGGAGGGTTTCAATGTCGAGACTCATCCATCTCTCCTCTTTGCATCCATCCGTGTCTGTGTGCTTGTTGTAGGTTTTATAGCGGTAGCATTAGATGGGTGATGTGTTCTCACTTACCATTCCTACTATTGTAACTTGACATTAAAGAGACAGAACCCCACAAAGCTCTTCACGCCATGGGCTTGCAGATTGAAGCACTTTCAATGTTGGGCGCTGGCATTTGTGTTCTGGGCATCATCTTGACTCTGCCCAGATCGCTCTAATTTTATACACAAAACTTGTTTTTTCATAAATGTTATAATTTTGTGTCTGTCTTTATAAACTATTATAAGTACTATTTTTGTTATAATTCAAAATAGATATTTAGTATAAAGTTTTTGCTGTTAAATATTTGTTATTTAGTAAAATATGAATTGTTTCCTCTATTGTAAACATGGTTCAAAATATTAATATGTTTTTATCACAGTTGTTTTAATATTGAAAAAAAGCACTTGTGTGTTTTGTTTTGATATGAACCTGGTGCCGTGTGAGTGTTTTTGCTGTCATGTGGTTTTACTCTGTATATAATATTCCATGTTGCATATTAAAAAAATGTTGTGCATTTTGTGATTTTGGAAATACTCAATGTGGCTCTTTTATAGGCTTCCATAATAAACCGTGAAGACTCACCCTCGTTTGGCTCTGTGGTCTCTGCTTTTTCAGCTCCCTGAAAGGGTCCTCCTGGCCACCCACAGTCCCTTCAACGACACCCAGTCCCACCTGCTTCTCAGGGAGGAAGGCCTTCCCTTTGGGGTTGGTCCTGAAAGGCCACCCCCACCCCCACCCCGATTCCCTGTGTGAAGGCGCAGAGAGGTTTGTGGCTGTGTCCTGGGAGCAGTAGGTCCCCTGGGGAGGGGTGGCTGTACTTGGATGGTCACTGGCCCCAGAAGCCTGACGTGGGGTGGAATGACTGGAAGCTGAGTCCTGGCCACGTGGCTGGGCCAGGTGTCTTGGCAACCAGAGTGCTGCAGAGTCCAGCTTGTTTACATGAGTGAGGACATGGATGTTCACAGCCATCAGAACTCAGTTCTCCTGACTTCCAGTCTCACACCCCACGAGGCACTTCTCGGGGCTATTTCATGGGTGTCGCAGGAACACCTTGATTCTGGGATCAAATCAGTTTGCGAAAGGGCTTAAACAGAGTCAGGCACAGATTCCTTCTCTCAGGGGCTGAGGGGCTGGACAGTGTAGAGCTCACAGGCTACAGGACTCCCCAAGCCCACTTGGTGACTGAAACCATGCCCTCTTTGCCCGTTCTCACACTGTGAATGTCATAGAGCCCAGAGATGACCCTGCAATAGGTACATCGTCCAGTGCCAGACAATGAATGTCCAGGGCAGTCCCTAAAACGGAGGGGCAGTGGGTGGGGGGGGGAGGGAGGGAGGGCAGTGAGTAGGAAAGCCGTTGCCCCTGGAGCTACACCAGGCACTGGGGGGCCCAGCCCTGGCAAGTGCCAAGCCTCACAATGCTCAGGCCAGTCCCAGACCCTGTCTGTGCCCAGGCCCTTCCTCGGAGCCTGGGGAGTGAAAGTCCCCACTGGGCCGGCCTGAAAAAGGCTCATTTTGTGGCTGCAGTGTTTCTTTCTGATACAGTCAGGCAGACCCAACCTCAGCCCAGACGGGGCCCCTCACAACCTAGGTCACAGAGCCAGGCCACCCAGAGGGGCATCACCAGCATCTCCTGGGCAGTGCCCAGGTAGGCTGCTTCACCCTTGCTTTGGTTCCCCACCCCAGATCTGTACTCCCCAAGCCCTAACCTCCATCCTGGGGAGGAGAGAGCAAGGTGATCCCCTGTTTCCTTAAGCTGAAGCAGAGTCTCAGCATAGCAGGGATGTTTCAGAGCCATGCAGAAGCAGAGGGCGTCCTGTGCCAGAATGGGGGCCACCTGGCCCGAATAGCACAGGTCCCACCCAAGGGCTCTCTCAGACTTGAGGCCTCCAGGGTCAGCAAGAAGCAGCAACAGACACCCCCAGCTTCCACCAGGAAACGTGCCAATGGAAGGCAGTAGTTGTTCAGAGTGTAAATTCCATCTCTCCCGGTGGAATGTCCTGTGGGGCGGCAGAGGTGAAGGAAGCCTGGTCCTCGGGCTGCCCTCGGCCTGACCGCGCTGCCACGGGGTGGAAGCGCCCGGCTGGGCGGGTGGCTGGCCTGTCATCACCCAGTCTGTCCTGGCCTCTCCCCCGTGGGCCCAGCAGGCCGGTGACGTCTCCCGCACGGCCGCCTGCCCCTGGGATCTCCTGGCCTGGAAGGAGAACACAGGCCGCTGTGGACAGGCTGACACGGCCGCTGTTTGTCTAGGGGCTGGGGCGCCAGGTTGGAGGGAACTCACAGACCGCACATTCTGCCACCTCCCAGCACTTTTCCAAAACAGCCTGCCTTGGTTGGGCCTGGCTGCCTGGGGTGGCCGGGGGCTGGGTGCCAGGAACAGGGCAGGGGAAAGCAGGGCCTCAGGGCCAGCGAGTGAGGTGACCAGGTGAGGGCAGAGACTGCTCTGCCAGAGCCAGTCTGTGGGCTGGGCCTTGGACTGGGGCAGGGGGAGGACTGTGTGTGTCTGTGTTGGGGGCTAAATGAAAAACAAACCTGACTTGCCTGAGTCCTCAGCTGAGCCAGCCAGACTCTGTTCCTCACAGAGGCTCTGAAGCTCTGAGCACGGTGTGGAGGCGGTGATGGCGAAGCAGCAGGCTGGGACTCAGGTTCCGCTCCTTATCTCCTGTCCCACTTCTCTTTCACCAGATTGGTCTGCCTCACTGGCCTCATCCAGCCTCAGGGACTCTGGCCTTCCAGGAGATACTTATTCTAGTTCCTGCAACCTTGGCCTTCCCAAGATGAGCATGCCTCTCCTCCTAACCTGGTGCTCTCAGCCTCTGGCCCCCTCCATCAGATCCCCCATCCGGCACAGCAGTGAAGTGATGGGTGAGCCCACAAAGGCTTCCATGGGAGAGTGGCTCTAAGACACCAATTTTGGAAGCAGCTGGGTCTGCCCTGGGGGGCTGTCAGAGGCACAGTGGGGGTTCGTTGGCTGCCAGCAGCCATGTGGCCAGGTTGCTGGCCCACGTGAGGGCATCATGCTCCTGTGAGGGAATGTGGGTGGTCTGGGAGGCAGATGTGCCTGGGCAAGGCCCACCTGCTTGGCTATAGTCCTCTCCTTCCTGGCTTGTCTCCACCCAGAGAAGCCCTTTTTGCCTTGCCTCGTGTAGACTTGATTTTTTTTTTTTAGACTTGACATTTTGGTAAGTCCTTCCTTCCCACAGCTTTTTTCCTCTGGGAGTCACCCTTAGATTCCCTCTGAGAGAAATGTTTTGTAGAACACATTGTGAGCAGTGCCCTCAAAGGTATGCAGCAGCAAGAATGCTCCACCCTGAGCCCATAGGGCAGTTTTCACATAGCAACTCCCTGCGAGGACTCTGATTGGTCCAATTTGAGTCACACGCTCATCCAAGGAGGATGGCTACCTCTGATTGGTTACCTTGCCCTGGGAGCAGAGACATCGCATATGATTGGCAGCCCAAGGTGGAGGCGTGAGGGAATTGTCGGAGGGGACAGATGGAAGTAAAATTTACTCCAGAACACAGTCGAGGAGGGAGGGAAAGGAACAAGCAAGATGGAGGAAGATCCTGGCTGCCGAAGTGATGTGCCAGGACTGTAGAAGGAGGATGTGTGATGAATGATAGTTCAAGAGAAGAGAAGCGCTTAAGTGGCAGACTCGGCCACTTATGGTGAGAATGTTCGGCTGTGATGTCAACTCCTCCTCCGTCAGAATAAAATCTTCCATGTTTCCAAGGGCTTTGTGTGACAGTGCATGTTGGTCTTTTATTTTTAAATAATTATAGATGCACAGAGAATTGCAAAGATTGTACAAGAGAGGTCCCAAATACCCTGCATCCAGTTTCTCCCAATGGCTTC